ATTAAAAGGCTGCCTGAAGTTTGATTTTTATGTGACGAAACCCAGGCTCAATCGGGTTACTTTTTATTGAGGCAAAAAGGCTGTCCAAAAGCAGACCAGTTCATTGACCAAAATGGAAAGCCCTGTTTTGTACGAGAATATCTTGAATAAAAATGAAACTTCAGGGGGCTTTTTAACTGGGGTTCCCCGCGGTGATGTCATTTCTGCTACTTAATATGCAGGCACCTGGTACTCTTTGGCGCTGGACCACAGTTAAAAAGCGACCTGAAGTTTCATTTTTATTCGAGATATTCTTGTACAAAACAGGGCTTTCCATTTTGGTCAATGAACTGGTCTGCTTTTGGACAGCCTTTTTGCCTCAATAAAAAGTGACCCGATTGAGCCTAGGTTTCATCACATAAAAATCAAACTTCAGGCGGCCTTTTAATTGTGATCCTGCGGTGTGCCTGGGAAAGCACGAGGACCGACCCATATATAGAACTTTTACTTCAGAAGCGTTGATTGTCACTGAGCTATCGCTGAGACATCCGTCACGCCCACACCGAACGCACTACGACCGCCACGTCTCACATCCCGATACCCCCCTCCAATGGAATCTCCACCAGAGGCACGAATGCAACCATCCACGACTGTACATTCCACACAACACGAACCGCACCCCAGCGCCTCTCCAAGCCACGGATTCGTTGGCCGGGTTGCACGTAAAGTATCCACAAAGGACGGCTGGCTGAGTGGATACGACTATGGCTGGCTCTGCCTGCCGTCTTCCCCATTCTCCAATACGAACCATGAACCACCATTCTATGCCCTGGACGCCGAGTTACCGCTGCTTCTCGCCATGGCGAGCGGGCTCCAGCACGCGCTCGCGATGCTTGCAGGTGACCTCGGCTTCGCTCCGGATGCGTGTATTTGACGGGGGAAATGATAGGGTTAATCACACCACCGATCATCTTCGCCAGCGCGTTGAACCTCGACGCCGCGACATCGAGCTACATGATCTCGGCCTCCCTGATTGGATGCGGTCCGTCAGATACCACTCAAACTTACTGACCCAGTCATCCTCAAGGCTCGTGCAGGAATACTCAGCTTAGTGCAAATCTCGCGCATCCCGTTATTCGGCGGATATTATTTGGGGACAGGGTTGATTAGCGGTGAGAATTTCCCGGTACAAAACCTAGACCGGCAACTGACTCTCACCAGTCGTCGGCACTAGTTTTGCGACACTATCTACTGCGAACGCGGTGCGTTCCGTCATCCCCGCATTTTTTAATTATCGCTTATACGCGCCAGATCTTTGATGCGATGTACCTCGACGGAACATGTTCATCAACAAGGGCGGCAGACGGCACCGTCACCCGAAACGCATGTCCCGACGCCTATGGCAAACTATTAGGTCGGTTCTCCATGCCTGCTCATTCCACGTTCCTCAGCCATCCACAGGGACCTCCCTCATCTGCTCCTTTCTCGAAATGGGCATGGCGTTCGTCCCGCCACGCGTCCTGAAGCGCATCTTCCCGCCCATGATCACTGGTAAGTAACTTCCCTGTCCTCCTTCACCGCCTCCATTAACCGCACCAAGGCACTGTCGTGCTCCTTATCGGCGCGGCCCTCGTCGGCAACTCTGGTGCGCTCAACTGGGCCGGCGGCTCCAACGGGTGCCAGAACTTCCCCACGAGCGGCATCTTCGCGCTCTGCCCCACGACCCTCGCACCGCGTCCCCTGCCGTGGGGCTCGCCCGAGCTCGTCGGGCTGGGCTTCCTCTCGTTCGTCAGCATCGTCTTCACGGAGCTCTTCGGCTCGCCCTTCCTGAAGAACATCAGCGTCATCGTGGGCCTCGGCGTTGGGTGCATCGTCGCGGGCGCCGCGGGCTACATCGACGGCTCGAGCATCAAGTCTGCGCCGGCGATTACGTTTCTGTGGTGCGTCTTGGTGCGTTGGCTGGCGCGTCGTGCTGAATGCGCTTCAGGGTGCACACGTTTAAGATTGGGGTGTACGCACCTGCTATCCTGCCCAGTACGACACTTCACCATCATCACACAGCGCGCTGACTCCCGACTCCCAGTGCTTGCGGTCTACGGTGAAATCTGATCTCGCTTGTCGGAAGGGTCAAACTTAGGGGATACATGATCTAGTCTCCCTTGCTATGGAAGCCATCGGCGACATCACCGCATCCGCAGAAGTCTCGCGCGTCGACGTGCGCGGTCTGGAGTTCGACTCGCGCGTGCAGGGCGGAGTTCTGGTGCATTTCTCGTCCTCTTCGCGATTTGCAACTCTAACTAAAATATTACCCTTGCAGAGCGACGGTCTCGGCGGCTTCCTCTCCGCGCTGTTCACCGTAACGCCGCTCTCCATATTCGCCCAGGTCCGCTCCCACCTCGCATACCTCTTGATTTTCCTGACCACAAGAACCGCAGAACAACGGCGTCATCGCCATCACCCGGTGCGCGAACCGCGCCGCCGGTCGCTGGTGCTGCGTCTTCCTCATCCTCTTCGGCGTCCTCGGGAAGATCTCCGGCGCCCTGCTCGCTAGTACGTTCCCCCCCCCGCCCCAATCCAATCCAATTTTCTCACCCTCACCCTCGCACCGCGCAGTCCCGAACCCCGTCCTCGGCGGCGTGACCACGTTCCTCTTCGCGAGCGTCGCGGTCCGTGCTCCTCTCGCCACCATCGCCATCTCCATCGCTAACTCTGAAGCCTGCAGGTCTCGGGCCTGCGCGTGCTCTCCTTCGCGCGCTATACGCGGCGCGACCGCTTCGTCCTCGCCGCGGCGCTTTCGTTCGGGCTCGGCGACCTCCTCGTCCCGGGCCTCTTCACGCACCTCTTCGACCGCGTGCGCAGGCCCAACAGTGCGCTGAAGGGGTTCTTCGACTCGATCACTATCATCCTCAGCACGCCATGTGAGCCCTTTTTTCCTCTCCTCCGGTTGAACTGTGATCTGTGGCTGACCCCGCGCAGTCCTGGCCGCGGCCATCGTCGCCGTCATCCTCAACCTGATCCTTCCACTGGATAGCACAGCCGCGATGGAGGTGGAGGAGGTGGAGGACGACGCGGAGAAGCAGCTCGACTCGCCGAGCGACGTCTGACTCTGAGTTGATTATCGACTCGGACTCAACGCATTGTATACATATTCTATAGAGCGCACTGCGCAGTATAGAAGAATCGGAGACTGTGTACTGGCCGCCCGGGAGCCAGGGAGACGCTGTGCACTGTCTCGTGATGGTGCAAAGGCAAAGTTGAAATCGTAGTTGAGTTTGTAGCCGAGTATGGCGGTCCAAATGCGCTTTTATTCCCGCGCAAAACAAACTTTGTTCCGCGCAATAAACTCGGCATTTTCGGACCGTCCGCGCTAAAAACTGACATCGTGGGAGTCAGTTTTTGATGCGCGCAACTTTTACCTCCGCGCAGATGGGTCCAGATATTCTCCTGGTTAGTACCTCGTCCCTTGTTTTCTTTTTACAACAGCTGACTGTGCTGATGGTACAGAACAATGTTTTCGTTTCAGATGAGGCCGACGAAGCCATAATTGATACCATACGCGAGGTGTGCTGAGTCCTTCAAGGCTTCTACCCCGTTGATCGCATATTTAATGAATGTGTCGCAAGTCACAAGTGTTTGGACAGCGGGGCAGATTTCCCCTTTTGAATTTTCACCTGACGCGAAGGACGAGAGCAGGCCGATTGCTTTTGGGGAAACACTTCTGCGCCTGTTGGGCTCGCTCACAGAGCCGATTGTTTCCTCGGCTGTGCACGCGCGGTGTGTGGAGATGACGAGCCGCGATGAAGCGTTCGAGATGCTGGATGAGTTCCCGCCGGCTGCTGTGAACGTCGGTCGGATTGCAGACTCTCGTCAAACGGCTTTGCTCATGAACAACGCAGGTGTGGATATCTGTTACCGCGTTCCTCCATTTTGTGTGCCAGTCGACGGCGAACCCGGAGGCGAAGGCAAAGAGGATTGGTGCGTGTTGTCATTCTCACTTTTCAGTGCTCCTCTGATGTCATGTTTTTTCAGCGGGCGTGTTTGCACCGGTCCTCTTGCAAGACACCGCGAATGCGGTGTCGCCTGTGGGCCGGCGCAATTTTCTGCTATATTTTATCTCCTGATTGGTCGTCGTGGATACCTGTTCCAATATACCTCACGGACGCACGCCCCCAACTTTGAGGGAAGCCCCAGCTGGTTTGGGTGCAGCCAACATCGCCCTTACATGTATGCATCCGCGAATGATTCCCTGGATCAACCCCAAACATGGAAGGAACCAGATGGTCCACGTCAGACGATGGCTGACCTTCCAGAGAATCTCCAAGAATATCTGCCTTGGGCTTGTTTCAAGCTGATTCACTTTGGCTCTTCGTAGTGTATACATCTCCCGTTGATTAATGTCTTCTCGATGCTGGACCTTGGGTGTGAATACCATTGGCTGGTACTACAACTATATGGCATAGTGTTCAGGATTCAGTCCAAAAAGCTGACTTCGACGTATCTCTGGCATCCTTGGCCTCTCCTTATAGATGACCAAGCTGCCCCTCTTTCACTTCCCCAGCCGCGACACCTCCGCCAAATCTCTCAATTTCCAGGAAGGTCAATATTTGCTGTTCCACTGACGCTTTCGGTAAACACATCTTAGCAAAGTGCTGGATGCCTGTGATTCATGTCCACTTTCAACTAATGATTCAACTAATGATGACTGGTCCCGCTAGACCTCCCGCAACGGTAGGAAACTCTGGCCGTTGACACCTGAACCTCGGATACTTGGAAGAGGTTCACTGTGCTTGCCCTGTAATATCTTGTTATCAGCATGTCACTCTTTTGGATCTTCCAACATAAACTTCTTGACCTGGTCCAAAACTGACCGATATTAGAGCTCAAAAAATATTGCCTCAAATTTACTGTTTCTTATGAGGTTTTAGTGGCCTGATCGATATTCGATGTGATTCCCTCGCAGTACAAGGTTTGGTATGGCAAATTAGCCGCCTCATGTACGCTACCGCCACATCACCGTTATAGCATCAGTGGTGTAGCGGTAACATTGGGTCTTCCCATTGTCATTCTTGATTAGACTGTGGCCTAGCTCCGGGTTCGACTCCCGGCTGATGCACTGTTCCTTTTGAGCAATTTTTAAAACGTAAGTCTTGTGTAGAAAATTCCAGGTCACACAGAGTGGAATAGTTCCACCGCGAAGCTGCTGCCGAGAAGCTGGGCCTCAGTAAGACCATCCAGTCGTCGATGCGTAAACCTGATTCATTCCCTTCGTAGGTACAATCATTCTACAGTAATTATCTTCCGCTGCGTACTGAGGTTCACGAGCCTCGCTTTATTCGGCGCGTGCTTGGCGCGTGCTCTTCCAATTTCCTTTCGTCATCTGCTGACCTTTACTGCGCTCTGAGAGCTTGAGCAATTTTTGAAACCTTGCTTCAGCTGTAACTCTCTGAACTATCAGGAGGATCTCGGCCCGAACTGATTAGTGCAATGATGAAAAGGTCAGATGAGCGATTGCACGGGACCCCTCTCCAGCTCTTCTGCTCCTACCTCCATCTCATCTCATCCTTCCCTTCTTCGTACCCTTCCCCTCCCCTTGCTCTCCTCTACAGCCATATCCTAGTACCGTCCTCTTAATCTCACCCATAATCCACTATGCTTGGCATCAAGGCTCTTTCTGACCCCCTCTCGGTTGCAAGCCACGCAACCGACGCTGCGCAGCACAGCGCAGAGGCCGCACGGGCCGCGGCACTCGCACAGCAGGAGGCCGACCAGGCGGCAGCGGATGCGCAGAAGGCGGCGGCTGCAGGTACGGCCCCCTATCTGCGACTCTATCCACGCTGACGTGCGGTACAGCGGAGGCCGCGGCTGTGGAGAATGCGGGCGAGGCCGAGGCGGAGACGGACGACATCGCGGCTGCGGAGGAGGACGCCAAGGACCACGCCGCCATCGAGGCGGAGATCAGGGCGAAGGAGGCCGCCGTTGAGCGCGCGGAGGCCGCTACCGCCAAGGTCAGTTCGCTGGAAACAACTTCATTTCGATCCTCATTTTGCTTTCCAGGCTGAGGCAAAGTCGGCTGCTGCCAAGGCGAAGGCCGCCGCGAAGGAGAAGGTCGCGCTCGACAAGGCGCGCGCGGAGTACGAGAAGGAGGTCGCGGCGCTCACCAAGCTCGCCGCGCAAAAGCGCGACGACGCGATCAAGCACGCGGGCGCTGAGCTCAAGAAGGTGCTTCCCCCCGCTCTCGTTCGTGCGGCTGCTGACGGGCGCGTAGGCGGTGACGACCGCGTCGATCATCCGGCGCAAAGAGGAGGCGCAGGCGCAGTCCGCATGCGCCAAGGCGGACGAGGCGGCGGCGAAGAAACGGCTCGAGGCGGAGAAGGCCGCATGGAAGGAGCGCCAGGTGGCGGAGAAGGACGCGCACAACGCATTCAAGAAGGCGGAGAAGCTTGCGACGTGCGAGCGCGAGAAGGCGGAGAAGGCGGCGGAGGCGGCGCGCAAGGCCGCGATCAAGGCGATCATGGCGAAGCGCGACGCGGCGTTCAAGGAGGCTGAGAGGGAGAAGAAGGAGGCGCAGGAGGCAGAGGAGCGCGAGGAGAGCGTGGCGAACAACATCAAGGCGGGCGATGACCCCGCGCTCGTTCTCCCGCCCACGACGCTCGAGTGGCTTGCGAGCTTCATCGTAAGCACTTCTTCTCATCTGTGTGCTCATTCTGACGCTATTTGGAAGTGGGGAAGCAGCACCTCGACTACCGCCGCCCCCACGCCAGCCAGTTAATATATATATCCCGCTACGCATGCCGTCTGGTATACCATTGCCTGCCTTTACGAGAACTCATTGATCCTTTACGCCACGCGATACCCCATGATTTATGACTGACTGTAACGACATGATACTTCTACGAGACGCAATGGTGACCAATGCCATATAACCTTTTTTTTGAATGATGCTTCGCGAGTGAAGAATCGAAATTCCGAGCTGCCCTCAAGCGCTCAACATACGGCACAGACTTCTCATCAGCGTCCTCATGCATGAGAGATTCGGATACATGGGGATGGACAAAACATCTGCAGCTCTCACCTTGCCACTGGGATCGCAGTTACCATCATGCTGAGCAAGGCTCAGTGGCGGGTGGTCCAGAGCTGCGCTTTGCGCCTCAGCGCTGACCTCCTCGTTCCAATCGAGACCATATCTAAAGTGTGAATGTGTATTTTTGAGACGAGCTACGGTTGAGGCGACTGGATCAAAAGGGGGCGGAGGAACGGGGGTACCCAGGTACTTCTGAATTTCAACGCTCCACATGTCCGACCGAGTCTGGCTTACAATATAAGCTAACATATCTTGCGTATTCGCTGTGAGCCCTGGCGGAGTTCCGAAAAGGGACCACGCTGAGTAAAATTATCCTGTTCTTATCCAAGGGGCTCCGTCAGAATATGCTCCATCGTGAGTTTAGTGACGGTCGAACGAACTGCATAAGACTATCCCAGCGGAATCCCGGCCATTGGGGCGTACCAATCAAGCAAAGCAGAAATAAATTAGACGTCTTTGCAAGAAATCAGTGTGCGTTGATTTCTGGAAGGTAGTATTCGTACCCAGAGGTCCGCTAATCCGCGCTCTTTGCCTTATTAAACGCCCGCCCGAATTGCTCGCAAGTAGAGTTGTCCATCACCGCGAAGGCGACATACCGGAAGGACCGCGCGAATCGCCCGCCGAGCAGCTCCGCCCAGATACCCGCCACGACATCGACATCGTTCTGGAACACGCCCGTACCAAAGCTCCCCAAGATGAGGTTGCGCACGCCGCGGCGCTCGAAGAGGAACAGCACGCGCGCCATGCGCTCCCGCATCGTGCTCGCGATCTCGGCCTCGACATCCACAGACACGCCGTGCGCGCGCCGGCGCACGAGCCCCGCGTGCACCGCAGGGCTCGTCAGCACGTCGATCTCCATGGGCGGCATCCACGCGCCGTCGTCCGCCCTGAAGGCGACGACCGCCGGCGAGTAGATCATTGCGTGCGAGTAGAATCCCCCCTCGTCGTTCGCAGAATGCAGCGTGTAGAATTGCTGCGCAGTGGGCGTCATGAGTGAGGGGTAGAGGGTAGAGCTCCGCGCGAGGGACTCCTCCTGCGCGTTCGCGCCGTTGATGAACCCGCCGCCTGGTTGTTCAGCAGAAGCAAAATTGAGCACGCCGATGGGGCGTTTATAACCCTCCAAGCCGGCGTCTCGTGCTGCGTCAAGAGTCGTCGTCTCGAGGATCTTGATCACGGTGTTGATTTCGGCAGGAGGGGGTTGTGCAGGACTGAAAGATTGCCAGGTCGATAACAGCGAGTCAGGCGCGTAGTAGGCCGTTTTCACGGTGGATTCGGCGATGATGCTCCCCACATCATATACCAGGCCCTTCACTGTGACTTTTCCGGCGGAACCAGCAGCCAATGTGGTCCGTGCAATGTCTCGCAGAAGAGCAGCCATCGAAGCGGGAGCAGGCCGAGACCTAGCACAGCCACGCAGTATCGCACTGCCACCTCGGCCACGTTTTTCCTCTTCACCGTGACCTTCAAAGCTTCAAAGCTTCACCCCCGATTCCCTGCTGGATTTTCTACCTAGCTAGAGGCACTGAATTCCAAATGTGTGCGAGTCGCTTCCTCGGGCTCTGGCCTCCCGTCCAGCGTATGAAAATTCTCCAGACCTCACTGGCTGGGCCACTTCACCGTGCAGCGTACTATGCTTCTGCATGGTTGCGCGACTCAGATTTCCTGGAAAGCCTCAAGCTGCCTCATTCACTGCCAAAGAAGGAAGCAATCCCTGTATCTCCTTCCCGTCAAGGGCCACAATGAAATCCTTTGTGCCCCCAGTCCACTGCTGCGCGCCATTGATGGGCGCGATGTCTTGCTCATTGTTCGCGTGGACAAACTGTCGCAAATCCCGGCTTTATAAACCGGGTCCTTCTGAATTCGCCACCATCTTCGCCCCCGAGATTTGACCTAGTGTCCTCAATTCTCCGCCGCACCACACCATGGGCCAATACTGGACCATCACCAATATCGACAAACGCGAGATGCTCAGCCTCTCAAAACTGGCGAGCCACTTGTTTTCCGGGTTCGGACTCGACGCCTTGGCGATCATGCTTTTCCATCCGCCGAATACGGAGGTTTTCCTGCCCACAGCTTCTCTCAAGAAAGCACTCACCGTCCGAAAGTACGCATGTCTTATCTCCGTCTCGCCGAAGGACTTGCAGACTTATCCTCGGAATAGGAGCACTGCGTGTCACCTCCTCCGACTGCCGACCGAGCTCCTTCACGCGATCTTCGAGCTTCTTGTTGACATCGTGGACGCCATATGCCTGGGTCTCACTTGTCAGACACTGTGGAATATCGGTCGCAGGCGCATGGAGAAGGAAATGCAAGAGCTTGCCACCCTCCTCTCATGGGCCGGGGACCGCCTCATCTGCGTCGGAGATTATCTCGAGGATGGGGACATGCCACCGGGCCTGCTCACCGCGGACGAGGAGGCAGAGTTCCTAGACCCACTGACCGACGCTTTCTGGCACCGAGATGACGAAGTAGCCGTGGCGTCCACGAAAGTTCCATCTCTCCATAGGCTCAAGTGCGAGGAGGTCCGCGATCGACGACAACAATATTTCTTACCCAGCGACCTCTTCTCCAGTGCCATCGGACGCATGATGTGGACTCCGCATCGTGCGTCGAGGTGTATTACGCTCGGCGATTTCGAGGTTGCCGAGCAGCTGTTCGATCAGTGCGCGTGGAATATACAACACCTCACCCGCAACAAGCAATTGCGCGTTCTCCGCAATTTGTCACGCCGCCAGGTCGTTTTCGAAGCAGATCTCTTCGAGCTCAGAAAACAACCAAACATGGGCGAATGCTGGTTTACAAACCTTGTGCTAATGAAGATCTGTTGGTCGTCTGACTATACAGCGAACATAAGGGGGCAAGAGTATCTAAAGATTCATCGCGGTGATTGGGCGGGCGATCGCTTCGACATCGTCACTGAGCCAGACTTTATACGGGAATGCGCGGGCCCGGGGGAAGAGGAATGGACGAATGTGGGGAATGAGTTGCTCAAAGAGGCTGAAGAACTGTGGGCTCTCCAGAACTAATAATTT